TGAGCAGCATCCCAGAAGGCCTCCTGTGCAGGCTTCCCTTCCCATCGTTCATGTGATTCTCAGAGAATCAGATGGCTGCCTGGGGTCACCTGTCCCTTCTTGAGTGCCATGGATCATGGGGGTTTGCTGCGCACACTCCTAGGCAGCCTCCGAGACATCTGTTGGTACCTAATCCAAGCATCAGTTTGGCAGAGGCTGTCCCTCCTCTGTACTGGGTACCAAGTCAGCTTCTGTAGGGATGGGGAGACACGTGGCACAGAGAGGAGATGAGGAGCAGGCCAGGTGCTACATATGTCAGAGAGCAGGGCAGTAAGGGATCAGTGTGGATGCCAGTGGTCAGGAGGGCGCCGGGGGTGAACCATGACCCCTGCCCCCTCACCAGAAGCTCCTCTGGAGCTGAAACTCAAGACCCTGTCTCTCTCCTCTGCCTCCTCTCCCGCTGCGGCTCAGGTGTTCGATGCGCGGGACTGCAGGTCTGCCCAGGAGATGTTCACCTACATCTGCAACCACATCAAGTATGCCACCAACCGGGGCAACCTTCGGTAAGTGCCCACCAACGCCAGGCCCAGCCTTCTCCCCCGAGGCAGGGAAGGCGGGGTTCTAACCAGCCCTTTCCCCACACATGCCAGCTCAGCCATCACAGTGTTCCCTCAGCGCTGCCCTGGCCGCGGAGACTTTCGAATCTGGAACAGCCAGCTGGTGCGCTACGCAGGCTACCGGCAGCAGGACGGCTCCGTGCGGGGGGACCCGGCCAACGTGGAGATCACTGAGGTGGGCACTGAGAGCCACCCACAAGGGTCTCCCCAAGGTGGAGAATGAGGAAGCCAGTGGGAGGAGGCTCGGTGGATCCAGGCAGGAAGAGGGGAGCCTTGGTGAGAGGAAGGATGAAAATGCAAAGGAGGGATGCCAGGGTAGGCATGGAGATGCAGCCAGTGAGGGGTCCCTGAGATGAAGGCAAGAGATGGTGGATGGAGAGGTCTCTGAGAATGGTATAAGGCTCAGCCGCCAGGCCGCCCCACCGCTCCCCACAGCTCTGCATCCAGCACGGCTGGACCCCAGGAAGTGGCCGCTTCGACGTGCTGCCGCTGCTGCTGCAGGCCCCAGACGAGCCCCCAGAACTCTTCCTTCTGCCCCCAGAGCTGGTCCTTGAGGTGCCCCTGGAGCACCCCACGTGAGCACCAAAGGGACTGGCTGGGTGGGATGGAGGGGGCCATTCCTGAACCCCTCAAGGAGGGCCTGTACGGGATGCTGATCCGATGCCCCGGCACCCCCAGGCTGGAGTGGTTTGCAGCCCTGGGCCTGCGCTGGTATGCCCTCCCGGCGGTCTCCAACATGCTGCTGGAAATTGGGGGTCTGGAGTTCCCTGCAGCCCCCTTCAGTGGCTGGTACATGAGCACTGAGATTGGCACCAGGAACCTGTGTGACCCCCACCGCTACAACATCCTGGAGGTGAGGGGTGGGCTGGGGCACGGCCACCAGATGTCCCTGCCCCAGGGGGGAGTCTGCCTCTCACTCCAACCCCAAAACGCCAGCCACGGGGACAATTAGAGCGGGGCCAGGGCTGCCTCCTAAATGGGAACTGAGGACCAGCTCTGGAACCACTGAGACTGGGGCAGAGGAGTAGGGGTGGGAGGGGTGTGTGGGGGTGTGAGTGGGTGAATGTAAGAGTGTGGATTTGTAGAGGTGGGTGGGTGTGGGTTTGTGGGGGTGTGCAAGGGGTGAGTGTGAGAGTGTGAGTTAGTGGGGGTGGGTGTGGATGTGTAGATGTGAGTGTGTAGAGGGAGTGTGTGAGTGTGGGTCTGCGTAGGGGTGTGAGTGTGGGTTTGTGGGAGTGTGTGGGCATAGGTGTGAGTGTGGGTATGTGTAGGGATGAGTGTGAAAGTGTGTGGTTGTGGGGGTGGGTAGGTGTGAGTGTGTGGGTTTGTGGGAGTGACGGTGTGTGTAGAGGTGAGTGTGAGTGTGGGTTAGTGGGAGTGGGTGTGGATGTGTACCTGTGAGTGTGAGTGTGTAGGGGAGTGTGTGAGTGTGGGTCTTTGTAGGAGTGTGAGTGTGGGTTTGTGGGAGTGTGTGTGGGTATAGAGAATGTGGGTGTGTGTAGGGGTGAGTGTCAGAGTGTGGGTTTGCGGGTGTGAGTGGGTGTGGGGGGTGTGTGTAGGAAGTAAGTGTGAGAGTGTGGGTGTGTGTAGGGGTGTGAGAGTGTGGGTTTGTGGGAGTGGGTTTGGATGTGTAGATGTGACTGTGTAGGGGGAATGTGTGAGAGTGTGGGTTTGGGGGAATGTTTGTGGATGTGTAGATGTGAGTGTGTAGGGGGAATGTGTGAGTGTGGGTCTGTGTAGGGGTGTGAGATGTTGGTTTGTGGGAATGTGTGTGGCTGTAGGTGTGAGTGTGGGTGTGTGTAGGGGTGAGTGTCAGTGTGGGTTTGTGGGTGTGGGTGGGTGTGGAGGGTGTGTGTAGGAGGTAAGTGTGTGAGTGTGGGTCTGTGCAGGGGTGAGCGTGAGAGTGTGGGTTTGTGGGGGTGGGTGGGAGTGTGTGGGTTTGTGGGTGGGTGTGGGTGTGAGTGGGTGGGTGAGGGGCACATGGGAGTGGGTGTGAATGTGTAGTTGTTTTCCCAGGTATAAGACTCATAACTCAAGAGCTTTCATCAGATACTCAGAGGGGACCTTGACTCAGAAAGGGTTAAGACCCATTTTCAAGATGAGACATTAAAGCCCGGGGCTGAGAAGTGACTGGCCCAAGGTCCCTCTCTGCTCTGAGACGCCTTCGAAGGCAAAAACCCAAACCAGGCCACTCGGCAGCCAGGCCTTTCAATGGCCACCACTCACCTCACTCCTTCCAGCCATGATGGGAAACAGAGATAGACTCCACCCCCACCCCCATCACCTCTGTCCCTACTGATGCCACGCAACCTCCTGCCCCAGGACGTGGCTGTCTGCATGGACCTGGATACCCGGACGACCTCGTCCCTGTGGAAAGACAAGGCGGCGGTGGAAATCAACGTGGCTGTGCTGCACAGTTACCAGGTGCACAGGCCCAGACTGGCTGGGAAGGCAAAGGGCTCAGGTGCAGGGGGAAGCAGGGGCAGGGGACGGAGGAGAGGGAGGCATTTAGAAACTGGGCAGGATCCAACAGGCGGAAGAAGTTCCACATTCCCAGTGCCACGGCACACACCAGCCTGCAGTTCTGGGACAGGGAATGTGCCATTCCAGGTGCTGTCATCTGGTGGCTTAATGTGTGTCAGGGACTTTGCTGTTTACTGCATGCGAGGTCATACTGATTCCTAGGGCATATTGGGTATTGTAGTTTGTGGGACCCACTGGATCCTGGAAACTCAGACCAGGATTGAGGGCATGCCAGGAGTGGTAGTTTGCTGAGTACTGCGGGCTATTTGGTTTGGAGGCAGGCATACAGATGCTGGAGACTAGAGCTGCTGTTGCATGTTGAACTTGGAGCATGACCATGCAGGATGCGGTTTGGGGTGACACTGGTTTGAGGGGACATAGGATGTGTCAGATGTGCGGTGACCTAGAGCACATGTGGTTTGGAGTGACAGGAGTGGCAGAGAAAGAATGGGCGAGGTCTGTGGGCCTGGTCTGAGCCTCTCCACCTCTCTCCTCCTGCCAGCTGGCCAAAGTGACCATCGTGGACCACCACGCTGCCACAGCTTCCTTCATGAAACACCTGGAGAATGAGCAGAAGGCCAGGGGGGGCTGCCCTGCAGACTGGGCCTGGATCGTGCCCCCCATCTCAGGCAGCCTCACTCCTGTCTTCCATCAGGAGATGGTCAACTATTTCCTGTCCCCTGCCTTCCGCTACCAGGTGCCCACCCTAACCGGTTCTGCCCCCCGGGCCCAGCTCTAACTCTGAGCAGCCCCTAGGGACCTGTAACCTTTCCTTTTCTTTACCTCCCCTCCCAACCCTATCACCTCTCTGCAGCCAGACCCCTGGAAGGGGAGTGCAGCCAAGGGCACCGGCATCACCAGGAAGAAGACCTTTAAGGAAGTGGCCAAGTGGGTACCCCAGAAGCACCGCCCTCCCCCACACACCCTGGGGGGACCTTGCCCCAGCAGTGTTCTGGGCCCACCATTCAATACGGCAAAACCCTGTTGTGAGGGCGTTGGACCCTTGCCTGGGGAGGCCTTGCCTCTGTGCACCTGGGACGCCCTGACGCCTCCCTTGCCCGCAGCGCCGTGAAGATCTCCGCCTCGCTCATGGGCACCGTGATGGCTAGGCGGGTGAAGGCAACAGTCCTGTACGGCTCTGAGACCGGCCGGGCCCAGGGCTACGCACAGCAGTTGGGGAGACTCTTCCGGAAGGCTTTTGACCCCCGGGTAGGGCTTTTGCCCCCAGGGGAGCAGGGAGCTAGAAAGAGGGGGCTCTATCAGCATCTTCAGGGGTGCCTGGGAGGACGGGAAGTGTTACAAGTCAGAACTCATGAGGCACTCCAGACCCACAGGTGTTCAGAAATCAAGTTGGGGCCTGAATTTTGCACTGCCAGGGAGGCCAGAATGAGGAGGACAGGGCCTCAGGGGGTCACAGCAGCCAGAACATCTGCCTTTCCACCCACACAGGTCCTGTGTATGGATGAGTATGACGTGGTGTCCCTGGAACACGAGACACTGGTGCTGGTGGTAACCAGCACATTTGGGAATGGCGATCCCCCGGAGAATGGAGAGGTGAGAATTTCCAGGAAAGGGGCTGTTGGGAATGAGGAGAAACTCAAAATTGGAGTGACTGGGCAGGAACCTCTGCCCAACACACACACATACACTCGGGCACACATACACACACACCAGGATGGAAGGGAAATGCCAAGAGACCTCCCTCCCCAGCCTGACACCCCGTACAAGGCACACTCCCAGCCTACCCATGAGGCTTCCTCCCTTCAACTCATTTCCATTATCAGTGCAAGTTTCTAACACAAGAAAGGCGTGTCCTGGCTGGCCAAGAGGTTAGACTGTGTTCAGGCATTGACAAATAAGAAAAACAGGGATACACTGAGCGCGGCTTCCAGGACTCGGGTAATATTTCTTAAGGGATGCCGGATACACAGGTGTGTTCAGTTTGTAACAATCCATAAAAAAGCTGTAATTTACAACACCTACAACACTATTCCAGCATTTCTTTTCTTCTTTTCTTTGTTTTATTTATTTTGAGAATCTATGTACGTTGCCCAGGCTGACCTTGAACTCCTGGCCTCAAGTGATCCTCCTGCCTCAGCCGCCTCAGCCTCCTTTTTAACAAAAGAAATAGAACGCTGTTTAGATGCCCAAGTTTTTAAGTAACTTCACTTAAAAAAAAATACACACACACACACACACACACACACACACACACACAGTACCACCATTGAATGCCTTCTCTTGCAAGCTTAGATGTCTCTGAGGTGCCCCAGGCTAGGTTCATTTCTGGTTCTTACCTGCTTCAGCTTCTCAGTGTTAAAGGCCTTATTAGCACTAAGTACCTCCTGGGAACTCTTTTTTTTTTTTTTTCCTTTGAGACAAAGTCTAACTCTGTGGCCCAGGCTGGAGTGCAGTAGTAAGTAGTACAGTCATGGCTCACTGCAGCCTCAACCTCCCAGACTCAAGCGATCCTCCCACCTCAGCCTCCTAAGTAGCTGGGACCACAGGGATGTGCCATGATGCGTAGCTAATTTTTGTATTTTTTGTAGAGATGGGGTTTTGCCATGTTGCCTAGGCTGGTCTCTAACTCCTGGGTTCAAGCGATCCACCTGCCTTGGCCTCCCGAAGTGCTGGGATTATGGATGTGAGCCACTGCACCTGGCTGTCAGTATCCTAAGCTTGAATCTGGTGAAAGCCTTTTCGCTGCCTTTGTGTCTATTTCAGCCCTCATTCTGCCCTACCTTGTAAAAAAAAAAAATAGCACCAGCAATTGACTTTTTTTTTTGTAGTATAAAGGTGTATAGATACCCATATAACCCACAGCCTTTACAAGGTATAACACATTTTCATCACCCTGGAAAGTTCCCTCATCAGTGCCTCACGTGCATCCCTTCCCAGTCTGTCTCCCTGCCAAAGTGTCTGTCACCGTAGATTAGTTTCACCTGGTCTAGAACAGCACCTAGATGAAAGCACGCAGTGTTATGGCATCTCCTGCTGAGTCTGTTTTTGAGGCGCACCCGTGTTGTGGCGTGACTCAGTATTTCACTCATTCTGCTGCTGAGTGGTGTTCATTGTGTGAATATCCACAGTTTGTTTATCCATTCTCCTGTTGGTGACACTTGGGCTGTTTCCAGGTCGGGGCTATTATGAATCAAGCTGTTATGAACATTCTTGTACCCGGCTTTTGTGGGCTTATGTTTTTATTTCTCTTGGATAAATACTGAGGAGTAGAATTGGTAGGTCATAGGGTAGATGCATGTTTAATCTTTCTCTTTTTAAAAAAGTAAAAGAGAGGCGTGGTGGCTCACGCCTGTAATCCCAGCACTTTGGGAGGCCCTGGTGGGCAGATCACTTGAGGTCAGGAGCTCAAGACCAGCCTAACCAACATGGCAAAACCCTGTGTCTCCTAAAATACAGAAATTAGCCCTGCATGATGGTACACGCCTGTAGTGCCAGCTACTGAGGAGGCTGAGCCAGGAGATTCGTTAGAACCCAGGAGGTGGCGGTTCAGTGAGCCAAGATCATGCCACTGCACTCCAGCCTGGGCAATAGAGCAAGACTTTGATTCAAAATAAAATACAAATAAATAAAACTCCAAAACAGCCAAGTGAATTAAACTGACATGCACTTTAAGATCTGTACATTTCAACGTATATTAATTTTATCCCAAATTTTTAACAAATCTAGGAATATAGCTCACAGAAAATAGGGTATATTCACTATAAATATGAGCAGAGGCCAGGCGCAGTGCCTCACTCCAGTAATCCCAGGACTTTGAGAGGCTGAGGTGGGCAGATCACGAGGTCAGGAGATCAAGACCATCCTGGCCAACATGGTAAAACCCTGACTCTACAAAACTACAAAAAATTAGCTGGGCATGGTGACACATGCCTGTAATCCCACCTACTGGGGAGGCTGAGGCAGGAAAATTGCTTGAACCCAGGAGGCGGAGGTTGCAGTGAGCCGAGATTGCGCCACTGCACTCTAGCTTGGCGACAGAGCAAGATTCCGTCTTAAAAAAAAAAAAAAAAGAACAAAAATATTTATAGCAAATTTGTGTGTAATACCCCACACTGGAAATAATTCACATGACCATTGACAAAAATGATAAATTGTGGTATGTTCAAGTGCCATATCGCACTAAGTGTGAACAAATCCAACCACACACAACAATGCAGGTGAATCTCAAAACATGTGAAGAGTAAAAAGTGCCAGAGCAAAGAATACATACTGCACTACAGGATTCACCTTAATAAAGTTCAGAAACAGGCAGAACTAATCCATGTAGATAGAAATTAGGAGGGGAGTTAGTCACCCCTGGGGTGGGAGTGGCAGTGACAGGAGGGAGGCATGAAGGTGGCTTCTAGGATTCGGGTGGCTTCTAGGATGTGGGTAATATTTCTTTTCTTTTCTTTTCTTTTTTTTGCGACAGAGGCTCGCTCTGTCACCCAGGCCCAGGCTGGAGTACAATGGCGCCATCTCAGCCCACTGCAAACTCTGCCTCCTGGATTCAAGCGATTCTCCTGCCTCAGCCTCCCGAGTAGTTGGGATTACAGGCACCTGCCACCACGCCCAGCTAATTTTTATATTTTTAGTAGAGACAGGTTTCACCCTGTGGGCCAGTGTGGTCTTGAACCCCAGGCCTCAGGTGATCCATTCGTCTCAGCCTCCCAAAGTGCTGGGATTACAGGTGTGAGCCACTGCACCCAGCCACAGGTAATGTTTCTTGATGGGATGCCGGTTGCACAGGTGTGTTGAGTTTGTGAAAACCCACAGAGCTGTACATTTACAACATGTGTGCGCCTCTGGGCTTGTGTTGCACGCTGACAAAACATTCAAAAACGAAATTCAAATCGTACTTGCTAACTATGGCAAACGTGGGAACCAACACTCAGAGACATCTGCAGTTCAGCACCAGATGCGCTTCCTTCCAGCTTCCTTCCCTCTGGAAGGTCCACATCACGCTGCCGCTTCATGGCAGCACAAACAGGCCCACAGTCTTCTGAAGAGGGCCACCTGAACAATGTCTAGAGACCAGGACACCACCAAAGGAACTGAGTTTGTCCCCCCATGAAATCCACTAACACAGGGTAGACTGGCCCTAGCCATTGCTGGCTGGGAGGAGGAAGGAGCTGCCACCTCCCCTGCTGCTGCAAGGGTGCTCTGGTGCCCCAACAATGGGGATTCAGCAACTCCACCTCTAAAGATTACCTGGCTGAAGCATTTAAAAGGGGGAGCAAGGCACACGTACAAGGGCGTTCGAGGGCGCACTGTTCCCAGACCACGCTGCTTCCATCTCTGTGACGTCAGGTGCAATGTAAACACTAAAAAGAATGAGGTCATGCTCTGGGAGGTTCAGGTAGGAGGATCACTTGAACCCAGGAGTTCAACGTCAGACTAAATAACACAGCGAGACCCTGTCTCTGCAGAAAATTTAAAAATTAACCAGGTGTGGTGGAACGCACCTAGAGTTCCAGCTACGAGGAAGGCAGAAAAATCTAATCTCAGGAGTTCGAGGTGACAGGGAACTACGATCAAGCCACTGCACCTCAACCTGGGCAACAGAGCAAGACCCATATCTAAAAGCAATACTACTACTTAGGTCAATATTGATGTGTTGACCTGGAGGGACGTGTGAATTAAATTACGTGAGGTACAAATAAATGCAAGGAAGTATGGTATAGTAACGCTTCTATTAAAAAAAACTGTAACTATACACCGGCACGTAGGGACAGGGAGAAAAGAGTTGGAGAGCAGTGGCATGATCTCGGCTCGCTGAAAGCGATTCTCCTGCTTCAGCCTCCCGAGTAGCTGGGATTACAGGCACCTGCCACCATGCCTGGCTAATTTTTGTATTTTTAGTAGAGACTGGATTTCACCCTGCTGGCCAGGCTGATCTCGAACTCCTGACCTCTTGATCTGCCCGCCTCAGCCTCCCAAAGTGCTGGGATTACAGGCGTGAGCCACCGCACCTCGCCTCATTTCTGAAATGTAATTTTTCTTCTTTTTTTTTTGAGACAGAGTTTTGCTCTTGTTACCCAGGCTGGAGTGCAATGGTGAGATCTCGACTCACCGCAACCTCCGCCTCCTGGGTTCAAGCAATTCTCCTGCCTCAGCCTCCTGAGTAGCTGGGATTACAGGCACGTACCACCATGCCCAGCTAGTTTTTGTATTTTTAGTAGAGACGGGGTTTCACCTTGTTGACCAGGATGGTCTCAATCTCTTGACCTCTTGGTCCACCCGCCTCGGCCTCCCAAAATGCTGGGATTATAAGGGTGAGCCACCACGCCCGGCTGTAATGTAATTTTTCAAAAACGTCAAACTGCTTTTGAAATTTTCAAAACAAAAATTAAAAACTACAAATCACTAATAATAAGGGCCAGCTGGTACAGTTTTAAACTTCTGCGTAGTTTGAAATGAAACAAAACTAACCCTGATGCCAACATTTGCCTTGCCAGAGCTTTGCAGCTGCCCTGATGGAGATGTCCGGCCCTTACAACAGCTCCCCGAGGCCAGAGCAGCACAAGTGAGTTGGGCAAGAGTTTCAGAGGAGCTGGGGGAGCTGACGCATTTGGAGACACAAACAGACAGGGGTCTGAAGAGCTCTCCCTCTGTACCTCGAGTCGTTTTCCCACCAAAAGCCAGGGCTCCAGGATGGCCTTCCTTCCAGGCTGGAGCCGCAGTCTGGACCTGCCTGCTCTGAGAGCCATCCCGAGGTCTCCAGAGAGGAGGGTGTGGCGTGGCAGGGCCCAGGCTCGGAGTCCTCTGGGATGCTGGCCCTCAGCCCCTCCCAAGGGCAGGGCCTTTCCTGTCGAAGAGGCAGAGACCCTGCAGCTGTCCCCGGGGCTGGGCCTGGGCCTGGGCCGTGTCTCCAGGGCCCTGTGACAACCTCGTCTTTGTCCTCTCTTGCCAGGAGTTACAAGATCCGCTTCAACAGCGTCTCCTGCTCAGACCCACTGGTGTCCTCGTGGCGGCGGAAGAGGAAGGAGTCCAGTAACACAGACAGTGCAGGGGCCCTGGGCACCCTCAGGTCAGGGCCTCATCAAGAGGGGAGCAACAGGTGGGCAAGCTGCCTGGGCAAATGTGGGCTGGGAAGGGAGCTCCAGTGACA